AACACAGAGAGATGCTGGACTCCCCTCTTGAACCTAGTGAAATCCAGGGGGGGGCTTGGGTGAGGACATCAAAGGACAAGGGAGCCATTTGCAGCCACCTGTTCCTAGCCCAGAGACCCAGCTTGTGCAGCTGGAGCGAGGGGGTGTCCCGAGGTTTGGGAAGGAGGGCAGCGGGAAAAGGGAAGTGAGTGAAATAATCCTGGTGCAGACGATCTGATCTGAAGCCATGGCAGAGAGAGGGAGAAATCTTGCAGTCAGGTTAGACTGAAGAAGCCTGGGGATGAGAGCTCAGTCTGGATAAAGTAAATGCCCCCTTGCCCTCTTCATCCATCCTGACCTCCCCTATAAGTGGGACCTGAATCAAACCTCTTTCCAGCTTTGCACATACGTGGATTATCTCTCTCTCCTGCCCCACTGATGCAGTCCCTGCACTTTGTGCCAGCTGGGAGTAGAATGGCCAAAATGGCCTGCTTTCAGCTGCACTGCCATGTTCAGCTGGTATCACTGGCAAATACCTCTGGTCAGTCACTAAGCACCAGCACCTGCTACAGAAGACAAACCTGCAGTCTGCCTGGATCTCCAGTGCGCTGGTGCTCTACCAAGAACCTTAGGCTGTCCAGTAGATTGGTTACAGTGGGCCAGGATCTGTTCTTCCAGGTGTGTAAATGGACTTGGACACTTACATGTGACTCTGTTGCACTTTGCTTTAGTGGCTGAACAATAGTTAATCCCAAAGGTGGGTGGGTCCTCTTCCATGCTGCTTTTTTCTGCCTCATGCTTGAAGTATATTGTAGAAGTTGATGCATTAATGGATTTTTAGGGACTGGGACAGGGTGGAGTGGGATTGTACCCAGGGCCTTAGTCCACTTAGATGTCTACTTAGGTGGACCAGAGTCTGGCCTTGTGTTGCGATTCTCCGCCAGTCTGGGGTTTCATTGCATCTGCACCGAGTAGCTTTGCTTTCTGCTTCAACAGAGCTTGTGCAGCACATGCAAGGCCAAATTCTCTCCTGTCATAATGCCATGGAAGCCAGGGGCATTACGCCAATAGGGATATGGGATTTGGCCCATAACAGGCCACTCCCTGAGCTTTCATCTCCCCATCCACAGGTGGCAAACACTGCCTTTATCCCTCTTCCTTTGCACTGTGTATTCGAAGGAACCCAAGCATATTTACTCTTCAGTGTCACCTTGGCTAGTCCTGGCAGCACACACAGAACAGGCAAAAGAAAAACCAACCCAGCAGCCACATGTCAAATTTCTGTCTCCTGCTTCTCTCCTATCAATAAATATTGGCCCAGCCACCTTCTCTGAGCACACCTCAGAGCCGCTGTGTGTTCAGCCTAATAGCAGCAAACACCCAGCACAACAAGCCCATTCATGATCTCGCTCTCACCTCCTTAGAGGGTTAATGGAAAGAGGAGATGGCCTGCCTAACCTCTGGTAAACAAGGCATGGTTGCCTCCGGGGGTCAAAGGACAAAAATGAGAACAAGCCTGCACACAGACTGGGCTAATGCTACTGCCGCCATCTGCCAAAAAGTCCCCAGATCGAAACTCCTGCTGCAGAAGTTCACTTTATCGTGCTATAAGTGTCGCCCTTTTATCTCGAGTGTGGTTATTTAATCTAAATAATTAATTGTTCCATTTGTTAGGGGGCTTTTTGATTTCTCCTTTCTGGACACTTTTTGCTATTGTGCTGTTTTGTTTTTTTTAAGAGAAATTATTCTTTAATGTGGCCATTAATATTACATGATATTTAATATACATTAAAAGAAACCCCAGCTAATCAAACTCCAATCCACAACAGGAAGCAAAACTTGTCAGTGCTGAGCTCTCTTGACAAGCATGTATATATATATATATATATAGCCCAGGGCATGACGATAAGTGGAGGCCTGGATCATGACCCTGCCTGTTTTTCTTATAATCACTGAGCGAGGGTAAGGACCTGCGTTTTTAGAGGATCAGTCGTGCTGTCTTTATGGGCTATATACGGGGATCACTTCACCTGCCGCTGGACAGCCATTGCCATTGAAATGTGGCAGCTATTCAAGACCCGTCAATTTTCCGTCTTCTATTAAGGGTCTTATTATACCACACGTATCCACCCCAGCACCTGTGTGCCTTGCAGTCTTTCACTGGGTGATGTGACCCACGTCTCTCATGCTTTTTTATTCTCCCAGGGGGAGAAGTACGTGCAGCGGAGTGTCTTATTTTAGAAGTAGGTTTCTAAAGACACATGCATGTTTTGGAGTCCACACCTGTTAGAGAAAGCAAGGTCAAAGAAATAGGAACCTCAAAGGTTGTTGAGTCTGACCCCTTGTTATTGTATTATATAATTCCTCACATTCACTTATACAGCCTTATCTTAAAATGAATTATACTGTTTGCCCTCCTTTAGCCACCCCCTAGAAGGCTGTGCCAGCGCTTCATGCACCTGGGAGTTAGAAAGGCACCTTGCCCGGAGAACAAGGTGAGGAAGCTCATTGCAAGGTCTGAAAAGTTGCATCTCCCTGACACAGGACGGGTGGAGAATCCCACTGTGCCAGAGGATCAAAACTGTTGATCACCATGTTCAACCTGGAGCTTTCCGAGACGTTGGGCACAGTCCACCGGCTGCTAGCATGACTGAGAAATGAACTTGTGTGCATCATACCATGGGAGGCCGGTGTGGAGAGAAGAGGAAAGCTGTGATGTGCCTGAACAGCAAATCTACAGGGTTATTTAAGACAGGAAGGGAGGAATACTGCATCCACTTGGACTGAAGGGATTTCAGTATGGCAGAGTTCAGGGCTGGGACTATGCGTTTAAAACCCTGAGATATTTGAAGGCCCGGGGCAGCACAGCTCTCTCCCTTGACATCAGCCCTGGGCATTGGTTCAGCTGTGACTCAGAGGGAAGAGGGCCTGCTGTTTAATCCCCAATGCTGCTTCCTCACAGCACCTGGCTTTTCCTTGCGTGCTGTGACCAAACGTGACCCCGTCTCACTTAGTGAAGTCTGATGCAGTCACAGCCTGACTCAATTTGGCTTCAGGTCATCATACCAAAAAGGATTTGGGAGCTTGGAGTCCTCCCAGCCTGAAACGGTCCTCCCTGGAAGGTGACAGTGTTTAAACATGAAATGTCCAGGGATCCCGCCCCCAGCCATGATATTTGGAAGGCATGCAATGAGGGACCTGACTGTCAAAAGCTCCCAGTAGCTATGCTAGCTGCTATTCTGATGAGAACATTAGTTTGTACTTTTTATTCAGATTACTTTTCATTCACTGGTACTTCACTGTGGGTAGTGGATTGGGAGTCAGGAGATCTGTGTACTTAGTCTCCACTTGGAGACCTGGGAGTTGCAGGGCTCCTCTGTGGGGCAAACTTATCTGCGCTCACACCTTACTCCGTACTCCAGAGGGAATATCACCCGCATAGCTAGTTTAGTTGCGCACTGTGTCTAGGTGCAGAGTGGATAATCTAGGGTCAGATGCACGAGGCACGAGTGAAGAAAAGCTCCTTGATTTTGATGACAGATGTTCCAGTCTTTTGCATCACTTATCTTTTCCCTTCTCTGAGAATTTTAAAATGAAGCTGATGCTCTGAAGGCCTCAGATTCCCCCATCTCTTTCACGCCTCACATCTAAACCCTATCATGACTTCTCAAGACTGCTACTGCCTGCACTTTGCCCCTAACACTTCCCACTGCTGCTACATTTCAGCTTGGTCCCAGAGGCACCACAGCAGTGATGAAGATGCCGGTGACCAGCAGCATTGTATCCACTGTAGCACTGCCATGCGGGGAGCTGCCTTAGTGGCTGCAATAATGGGAGATACAGGAGATGGGAAAACAAGAGCAGTGCATGTAGATCTGCATAAGGGTCGGGGTGTGCAGTAGTTTCTCCACCACGTGGTTTTTCTTCAGGATTTTGATGAACATTTTCAACAGAGGGAGACTAATTGGTGCTTAGGCATGCAATGAGGGACCTGACTGTCAAAAGCTCCCAGTAGCTATGCTAGCTGCTTTTCTGGTGAGAACATTACCTTGTACTTTTTATTCAGATTACTTTTCATTCCCTGGTACTTCACAGACTTTACCAGGAGGGCTAAAACCACTTTTTTACATCGTTGCAGTCAGGCCACCTGGGCGGTGAACTCGCCTGGGACAGCAATTCTCACAGACACCACACAACATTTTAGGAGAGGAGATGAAGGACTTGCAACTGGAAGGTAATAGGCAGGAGAAAGCAATCCTGACATTTTTGGATAAAGTGAGAGGATGTTAGGGAGACAGTGGGATTACTGAGCTTGGTGTTTGGCTAGGACACCGTGATTAATATGGCCCTTCTCATGTGCAAATAGCCATTAGACATTTAATAACCACAGTGTCTGAATCTGCATCTTCCAACTCACGTGAGTGCAGTAGTTAATGATCAGGAATGCTTTACGTTTACTGTGGATTCTCCTGTTGATCATTACCATTGCATGTATGTGATAATGAATTCAATACTGCTCCCCACTCCGGTGTACTGGTGTCTCTGGTGTAATGGGGGGGCTGTTTATGTATCTGCTGTTGTCAGCAATAATGTTCTGGGTGCGATATACTTCTCTCCTCTTTAGAAAGGCTTAGGAGGGAAGGTTCATCTATGTCAGACAAGCATTCTCGTACAAGTGTTTTATAGTGCACGGCTGGGATGAGACGTAAAGACCAAATGAAATTAAAAGCACATGCTCTGAACATTTCGGGGAATGGGCAGGTGCTTTTCCTAAGCCAGAATTCAGTCACTGTAGGGTGTGCCTTGGACTCCAGCTTGTCCTCATATTTCACCTGTCTCACTAGGCTGCCTGGTGAGTGATTTTATAACTCAGGGCTGTATGGATTATTTGGAGGCAACTCGATAGCCTCTCACTGAACCCCTTGTTATTGTTATATATAGTATTGAGCTCAAGACAAAAGCCCCAGCCCTGCTGCTCATCACTGCATTTCCCTTGGCATGTGCACTGTGGAGGAGGAATGCACAGAATTTCCTTTTCCATCCTCTCAGATCCTCTATCTTGGGCCTGGCCTGTGCCCAGGAGCGCAGCGGATACAGCTGGAGAAGGGCAGGTCCAGTCTTGCTGCTGGGAGACTCCAGTGACATTTAACCTTCTCTGCAGCCTGATCAGCAGGCAGCTGGAGGCAGATGCTTAATGAATAGTCCAGGATCAACTGCTGCCTGCTGAAGTGGTAGTTTATGAAGCAAGGGAGCATCCTGGGGAAGAAGCCCTGAGCTGGGAGAAGAATTCCCCAGACCAGGATGAAGTTGGCCTTCGCTGCTCAGGTATGTCACGGTTTTTACCCATCTACCAGCATTTGATTAGTTGACCTGGCAGAGAAGTCAAGAAGCCTCAAGGTTTGCTAGCAAGATCCCCAGCCACCACCACAAAAACTGAGCAGAACCAACTGTGCTGCATGCCGGACCGTTCTGTGCTTTTATCAATGGCGTCGTCTATTAGAAATCAGTGGGTGACTTTGAACTAACGTGTAATGGGACTGATGTATGCCTAGTGTAACCCTATGAAAGCTGGCAGGGAGGAACTTCAGCCCATTGGGACAAGTTCTTTTCTCATTTATACCAGCCCCGCTGGGTTCAGAGAGGCAGCACAGCTGTAATTCAGGAGTATGGGGCAAACGAGACAATTATAATGAGTTAGAAATGGTAAGGATAACTGTTTCATCCGTCTTTTCTATCCCACAGTAAGTGGAAGCTAACTTGTTCTAATTCAGCAGTTGTTTCATCCAGGGTGAAACTACTCTGGTTCAGCTTCCATTTATCACAGGGCATGGTGAACAGTGACCATGGATCAGCTAATATAAGTCTCCTTTATGTTCATAGAATGAGGGTTGGAAGGGACCTCGGGAGGTCACATCTAGTCCAACGCCCTGCTCAAGGCAAGACCTTCCCCCACTAGATCATCCCAGCCAAAGCTTTGTCTAGCCGGGTCTTGAAAACCTCAAAGGATAGAGTTTCCACCACCTCTCTGGGTAACCTGTTTCAGTGTTTTACTACTCTTCTTGTGAGAATTTTTTTCTAATATCTAACTTAAACTTCCCTTGTTGCAACTTGAGACCATTGCTCCTTGTTGTCATCTGCCACCACTGAGATCAATCCAGCTCCATCCTCTTTTGAACCCTCCTTCAGGTAGTTGAAGGTGGTTATTATAGTCCCTATCAGTCTCCTCTTCTTTAGACTCAGTAAGCCCAGTTCCCTCAGCCTCTCCTCATCAGTCATGTCCCTCAGCCCTGGAACCATTTTCGTTGCCCTCCACCAAACTCTCTGATTTGTCCACATCCTTTCTGTAGTGGGGGCCCAAAACAAAACAGTAATCCAGATGTGGCCTCACCAGTGCAGAATAGAGGGGAAGAATCACTTCCCTTGACCTATTGGCAACACACCTACCAATGCAGCCCAGGTTGCCATTCACCTTCTTGGCAACAAGGGCACACTGCTGGCTCATATTCAGCTGATTGTCCACTGTAACCTCTAGGACCTTCTCTGCAGAGCTGCTCCCTAGCCAGTCAGCCTCCAGCCTGTACTGGTGCATGGGATTTGTCCATCCTAAGTGCAGGACTTGGTGTTTGTCCTTGTTGAACCTCATGAGATTCCTTTTGGCCCAATCCTCCACTTCGTCCAGGTCACTCTGAATCCTAGCCCTACGCTCCAGCATATCAACTACTCCCCGCCAGCTTGGTGTCATCTGCAAACTTGATGTGGGTATGCTCTATGCCATCTTCCAGTATTGATGAACATTGAACAAAACTGGCCGCAGGACTGACCCCTGGGGCACTCCACTTGATACCAGCTGCCAACTAGACATTGAGCCATTGATTGCTACTCTCTGAGCCTGATGCTCCAGCCAGTTTTTCATCCCCCTTAGAGTCCATTCATCCAGCCCATACTTCCTTAACTTGCCCGTGACACTATTATGGGAGACAAAATGAAAAGGCTTGCTAAAATCAAGGTACACCACATCCTCTTGCCTCCCTGCATCCACCGAACCAGTTGTCTCATCATAGAAGGCAATCAGGTTGGTCAGGCATGCCTTGCCCCCAGTGAAGCCATGCTGACTGTTCCTAATCACCTTTTTCTCCCTTCTGTCTTCTCTTTTTAACGGGGTGTTCATTAGATCCTGGAATGAAATAAGCAAGAGTTTAATGCAGTCTAACCAAAAAATTGTTTCCCTTTACAGTTATTCAGTTTTGAATCCCTTACGGTGTCTCAATTTTGCCAGTTCTTCAGTCACCCTCCAGGCTTCAAGGCTAGACAAAACACAAATTCCCTAATGCAAAATACAAATAGGGAAAAACACACACTTTGTTTGGACAAAAATTGTTCATACCTTCTTTATCCATCATGAAACAGCAGCAGACACCATGAGCCAAGGTCCTCCACCCTGTCATTCCCAGTTCCTTCTCTGTTAAAAAGAAAAAGTGTCCCTTGGGCAATTGTGTTGGGAGGGATTTGGCTGAACAGAAAGCAGTCATCAAATCCCTGCCATAGGCCAGGGTCATGGCTACTCTGGAAACAATTTTCATAACTTGACTATTTTATTCTCATCTTTTTCTTTTTTCCCCTGTTGCTGTACTGTAAAAGGGTTCAATTGTCTTTTCCCCAGAGCGGTCGGCGGCGATAGAAGGAACAAGCTCTGTGCTAATGAAACCCTATCTTGGTTTAATCTAAAGAGGGATTTCAATGATGAAATAATGCATTTGTTCAGTGACCCGACAACATGGAGCACAGTTGGACGGCTCACCCCAAGGGCCATCCCTGGAGAGATCAAATCTGGTGACTTCACCACAAGCAACTACCAGAAGGTACTTGTCTCTGACTGTGGTACAGCGCTTGCTTTGATGGGTAATTGGGTATACAGCAGGGAGCAGAAGCATGGGGAAGAGAGACAGTGGTGCATGCTGTTTTTCTTCACCAGGAATTGCTTCAGATTTTGACTGGTCACCACTTTGACTCCTGGAAACTCCTACTTATATCAGCAGAGCCACCGAAGTCAATTGTGAGAGTTGTAAGAGTCGCTAAAAGAGAGGTAACATGTGTCACTGGTTAGGGAGGGAGCCTGGACATGGCAGACTTGGGATCAATTCCCTCCTCTGCCACATTCTACCTTTGTGACCTTGGGCAAGTCACTTAAAGCCAGATCCAAAAAGGTGCTTTGCTAGAATTTAGGTGCCTAAGTTCATGTTGATGCCTGAGAGGCTCTGGGGGCACCTATACACATGTAGTGGGATTGTTCTGACATGCGGTAATTACAGCGCGTTAGAGCAGTCTCAATTCATCGATACACGAGATACTGGATTAATGGATACATGAGACGCTGATACACGAGACGCTGGAATCTGCTGGAGTGCAGTAATTACTGCAGACTGCATCATCTTGTGCATCAGCATCCCCATGGTGAAAAATGGTGATGGGTTTGCTTTAGTTAAAGCTTGTTTGACAAGCTTCAGTTAAAGCACCCCCATTACCATTTTACACAAGATACTCTTAGAGCCACTCTGATTAAAGCACCCCTCCTGGAGCATGTGTATAAATGCCCGGGGTGCTTCAATTTTTGCCAGTAAAGTTACCGAGGGGCAAGGACATCTAATTTGGGAAATCCTTCACCATGAGTTAGGCACTGAGACACCCAGCTCACAAGATGGTGGCATCTCTGGGCCCAGGATGTAGCAGAAGCTTAGGTGTTTACATCTCCTGAGGGTCTGCTCTGGTATATGTGCTCAGATTATGCCTTACAAACCCTGACAGAGTGGAGTTGTGCACACAGCACAAGAGCCACAGCACCCTTCGTTCAAAGGCACCAGTAGCAGTGGTGGTGCTAGTGCCCACCTTGGAGACAATAAGCTAGTGGTTAGAGTACGTCCCAGCAAGTGAGATGCCCAGGTTTCATGCCAAACTCAGTTTGAGGGCATATAAACCCATGCTTCTCCCCTCTTCGCTGTAGGGCAGGGCTGAAATGGGGAGTGGATTTCCCATCCTTCCTGCTAAAACTGGGTCCACTTAGCACCCAGGCAGTACCTTCTGGTACTCGTTTGTGGTGAAGTCACCGGATCTGATCTTTCCAGTGATGGCCCTCACTGTGCTCCATGTTGTCGGGTCACTGAACAAATGCATAATTTCATAACTTGCGGTAGAGGTGATCTCTTTTATTAGACAGACTAGACGTTTACAAAAAGGTTTTTTGCAAACATCTAGTTGGTCTAATAAAAGAGATCACCTCTACCATGAGTTCTGATTCCTTTTTCCTCTAGACCAGTACGGCTGCAACCTGGATATTGAATTTCATAACTGAAATCCCCCAGGAGGCCAGGGAGAAAACAAGCAAGGAGGAGCATGAATCCATAGCCCAATGATGAGAGCAGTTGCCTGGAAAGAGGAAGTCCCAGGTTCTGGTCTGCTTTGAGGATTGCTTATGTGTTCATCCATTGAGTCTATAATGCAAAGAGCACATCGAACCAACATCTTCGACCACTCTGGGTTGCGGGCGTCAGTATTTATGAGATCAGTATTCGATGAAACGAAATGACTGTGTTCATCTAATGCTGGAGAAGATCCTGATGGATTCAGGAGCCTACTCCAAGTCTCCTTGAAATGTCTCTGTTGATCTCCATCTGAGAAGGATCAGACATAGGCCTTGCAGTAATTGCATAACACCTATTATCTTTTTCATGATGAGGGACTGAGCCCCAAACTTTTACAATTAAGAACATAAGGCTCTACCTCTTGAGCTAAAGAACGGTTACCCCCTGTCTGCAAGCAATAGTGTAACCGTATCCTCTGTGGATGAAGCACAGAGGTTGATGTGAAGCACACATTGGGGAGTGGATTACAGCTATGTATGCACGAGGTGCACGTGATACACGGAAAACTTTTCTCTAGGATAGTGGTCTCCAACCTTTTTAAGCACAAGATCACTTTTCGAATTAACGTGCAACCCAGGATCTACCTCAAAGAAAACGTAGAAATAACAGTTTATATTTATATTTATGCTATATAAGGCTGAGATCAAGTGCTTAATATACATAATTATACATTTTCCTTACTTACCAAGTCTTAGTGTGACACTGTGACAACTAGAGCCTAGGCGGCTCGTTCAGGGATGTGGGGGGCTCCCACCACTGTGCTCATGCCAGAGGAGGCCCCAGGGGCATGTTCCCCCTGATCTGTGCATGGGGTGGAGGTGGTTGCTGCTGCGTGCTGGGCTTTGCACCCTGCTGCAGCTGCCCCAGTGCCTGCCATCACTGGGCTGCACCGTGACCCCTGCCCGCCTGGCAGCTTGACCACGTGGAGTCGCGCAGGTCTGGAGGCAGTGGCAGCTGCACCTGGGTGCAAAGTGCAGCGCACAGTGGCAGCTGCCTCCACCCTGTGCACAGATTGGGGGGCATATGCGCACCCCCTGGGACCTCTGCTGGGGTGTGCACCGTGGTGGGAGTCACCCTGCACCCCTGGATGAGCCACCCGGGCTCCAATTGTCCCACCACCTGGCCTGGCTCCAATCACCCCAGCCCCTGCTCCTGCCCTGCTCCCTCCCTCACCATATGGCCTCAATCTGCCTCCCCATCTCTTTCCCCTCCCACCCTTCCCCAAAGACTTACCTGCTGGGAGGGGACTGGGGGCAGAGCATGTGCATGCACATATGCACACATGCTCAGCCCCTCCAAATAATTTTTTCTCCCTCTGCCTATGGATACGGGGGACTGAGACTGAGATGGACTGTCAGAGGCTCCACGATTGACCAGTCGATCGCGATCCACTGATTGGTGACTACTGCTCTAGGAGATAGTTCGAGGATTAAAGCCATGCAGGTACTGCCTCTCCTCCACCCTGCTCCCCCACTCTCTTCTGAGGCAGCAGGATCTTGGTGTGGAGATAACTGGTCACCCTGCTCCCCACACCTGCCCACCTCTTGTGCACCAAGGTTAGAAAGGGTTAACTGAGACAGCTGTGCTTCATGCATATTGGCTTGTTTGGTTTTCTTCTATTGATTGCAATTGCCCAGAGCTGTGCCTGTAACAAACTGCCTTAAATTATTGCAATAATAATAAGCACGCTTTGGTAAATAATGCATGAGATGTATGTAAGCCTATATTCATTAGAAAGAAAGAGCGCGCAGTGCATGGTAATCAGTTGGGCTTCGTGAGTCTGATTGAGATTTAGTAGCTGCCAGTGACCTGGCATGAATCAGAATTTGGTTTCTTGCAAGCTTCCAACACCTAGAAGTATAGACAAGCTACTTTTCACGTTCATGAATTTTGTACGAGATGTTTCAAATGCCTTGAAGGTTCATAGAATAATACAGCTTGGGTGGAAGCGCAATCATGGCCGGTCTCCAACCAGTATAATACTGAGACATCACAATTGATAGTATTTAATATATCCTAATGGCAACAAAACACACAATGGGTAACTAGTCTCTCAGAGAGAACATTAAGTGAGTTAATGGACTGGATGTTAGAAGCCCTTGTTTTCAAAATGCAAATGAAGAAATGCTTAGGTTTCCATTTGTCTTCCAAGAAGCAAAAATGCAGTGGAGTAGCATGTTTTTTTAAGTGAAACTCCTTCCCAAAGAAGTGCAGGATAACAGATCCATGGGCTTGGCTCCACAGCTGGGAAGGATTAGGCAAGGGCTCCCACAGAGCCTTATGGGTTAGGTATGCAAATTGCTAGGTAAATTAGATAGGCAGGATTATTTTTCCCACCCAGGGGAATCCTTTTTAAACTACTTTGATAAAAGTCACTCCAGATTTACAGAGGTAAGAACTGGAAGCAATAGCAGAAGGATTGAGAGTCTTAGAGCAGACTTACAGCTGGGAATGACAATGGGTAATTGCATTTCATTGTGATTTCCAGCAGGTGAGTATCCATGACTGTACAGGGGCATCTTTTCTCCGTTATGACTTCACCCTATAGTCTAAACAACTTGCTCTTTCTCACCAGGTGCGAGGGGATCTTATATTGATTTTCCTTTTATTTTTTTAAAGTGAAATTAGCACCAGTGTCAAGTATCAGCCTGACAGTGGAGGCTTTCTGCTTAGCCCTGAAAGAGTGACAATAGGGACAATGGCAGTGAAGGTTCATGCCAGCCAACACCACTTGGGTGTCTCAACCCTGAAGGAAACCATGTTGTAAGAGCAAGTGAGGTTTGTTCTCTGTAGGCCACTTGCTGCTGGGCATAATTGCTGTGATCCGGACTTTCATTCAGGCCTTCCACTTGCTCTTCCCAGGATTAGAAGTGGAAAATGCCAAAGTCCAATGGATAGTGCCTGTTTTCCCAGTATGTTCAGACTGAGTGGGAATGAGACAGACAGAGCCTCTAATGAGAGACATCATTCTCTTTTACAGACCTAAGTTTGGGAGCAGAGGTATAAATGCCAGTGTATGGGGCCGTGGCACCTGGCCCACTGGGTTCCCCACGGGTCCAGAAATTTGGGGGTGTGGGAGCACAGCAGCGGTAAATGTCACAACTTCAAGAGCCACTTCCAGAGCCAGTGCTCCCCCACCACCAAATTTCCAAACCCATGGTGAGTCCTTTGGGCTGGATGACATGGCCCCACAGGCCAGATTCAACTCTGGGTCAGAGGTTGAGCACCACTGATTTAAACCAAACCTAAAGGGGGGTTGCAAGAGGATGGAGCTGGACTGTTCTCAGTGGTGGCAGATGACAGAAGAAGGAGCAACCGTCTCAAGTTTTAGCAAGGGAAGTTTCGGTTGAATATTAGAGAAAACTTTCTCTCTTGGAGGGTGGTGAAGCACTGGGACAGGTTATCTAGAGAGGTGGTGGCATCTCCATCCTTGGAGGTTTTTAAGGCCTGGTTCAACAAAGCCCTGGCTGGGATGATCTAGGTGGGGATGGTCCTGCTTTGAGTAGGGTGTTGGACTAGATGACCTGTGGAGGTGCCTGGCAACCCTAATTTTCTATGATTCTAAAGTTTGGAGATTTATGCCTAAAAACAATCAGTGATCACCACAAAATTTACTCTGAGTCCAATTATGCTAAGGGCTTACTATGTTGGGGGAGAGTTAGATACAAGATAAAAACAGTGCAGCTACTTTTCTTCCTAGAAGTATCAAGAAGAGTCGCACGTCAAACTCAGTGGTATCTGCTGCAGTGTTACGACATGTATGATTTTGCTTGCTGGGTTTTCTCCAGTATCAATACTCTTGATTTCCTCTAGGGTAATTAAAGAAATAAATCTACAGCTGCCTGGCATCACATGGAGCAGAACTCCCGCGAAAAATGATGATCCTAGTCATTTTGTACTGTTGTTCGGCCATCATTTTTATGTACTGCACGCTGCATCATCTATCCGAGAACAAAGCAGGGGGGAGACAAACATTAAATCTCAATTTGGCCCATTGAGGTTGGAGATGAAAGTGAGAAATGGGGACAGGCAGATCAAATGACTATGAGGCATCTAGACGAAGATAGATGGGGAAATAACATTATACAAACTGCCTAGATCCTGCTTCTATTGTCCTATGAATGCTACTTGCCTTGAAGACACTCCCAGGGACTGCAGCAATTCAAAGGCTGAGATCCTGACCCCACCAAGGCCACCTTTGAAGTGGCGTCTTGTGCAGCTGGGATAACCTTCAGTCCTGGCTGCTTCTTGAATGGTGTGCTCTCACAACAGGTGCAGTAGAGGTGAGGGTAGTGAGTGAGGGAGACCCACAGGGAAGACCATAGCAGTGATGGCAGTGTAATAACCTGTGTGAAGCAAGCTGATCCTCTCAGCCTGCTTCTTGCTGCAGGCTTTACAAAAAAGCCATTATTGTATCTGCCGCTTATGTTGCCATCCCCTGTCCCACAGCTTTGCTGTTGCACCTCACACTTGAGCGTCCCCAGCAATATTTTAATTCCTCCCTTCCCAGCCCTTCACTCTAGCTCAACAGGCAGCACCTGCAGCTACTCTAGTCATGGGATCTTTGCATGCATCTCATCCCTGAGCATCTCAGCTCCAGCTTGTTGCAGTCCTCAGCCAATACCCCTCCTTCCTAACTCCAGCCTGGGTTTCCCATGAGTGGTGGCTGGGCTCAGTTGCACCAAATGGTGTGGTCATTTTATGATGCAGCCAATTGTTCCCCATAAGGGTGATGATTACAGACTATCAAGCTCATTGTCCTTGGTAACCTGAGCTGGCATTTGAACTAAGGCCTCTGAAGGTGAAAGGCTAATACACTTGCCTCCCTCTGTGCCACTGAGCCCCCTTTGCTTTGTTAAGGTGATGTACGAAGTTTGCAAAATCGCTGCTACAAGCTGTAAATGATGCATGAAATGAGAAATCCCAGCTTAGTGCGCAGAGAGAATACAGGCAGGCTGATCACTGCCGGGCTATTTGCTCTATAATATGCAGCTAACATACTGCAAGAAAAGCTAGCAAAGTCCTAGACAAAAGAAAAGGAGAATCATAAAGGAATTGAAAAGCTTGTGAAGTTCAATTATGACCTGGAATTTAATTCCGATGGGTTTGGTTGGATTTATTTTTCTTCCCCCCTCAGCCGCTTTCACCCCAGGCAAAATCCTTCTCTTAAGTTGGTTTCTCTAAGGGCTCAGGACAGCATGTAGTGGTATTAGCCACAGAAAGGCCTTTTTATTCATAGAAAGCCCCACTGATACCATAGAGCCTTATACAGATTATTTCTGGGTGACATCGTAAGGCTAGAAGTGAAAGGGGCTTTTGGTGTCTGTGAAGCTTAAAAATCCAGGGTGCAGAGGACAGAGAGAGGGAATTAAAGCCCATAAATAGTTTGGGACTAAGGACATAGAGGGGGAGATGAGGAATACTTCCCTTTAAAACAGATCAGACTTAACTGCTTTCCAGTATATTTCCTGCTTATAAAAACTCGCTGGGGGGTGTTTCGAGGTAACCGAGGAGGAAGTTTCCAGAGGGTTTTCTACAATGGGATGGATTTGACATGGCTTAATGGAAACATTGAGTATCACCTTCACCCTATCCTGAATCCAGCAGCCCCCTTCCAAACTCTGCTCAGGCCCGTTGCGGTAGAGCTTCCACATCTGGAGACAGAGTATAAGTTTCATAGTTTCATAGAGTGCAAGGCCAGGAGGGACTATTAGATCATCGAGCCTGACCTCCTGGCTATCGCAAGTTAAATCATGGTTTTGTCAGATGCGTGCGAGTCCCCTCCTAGCCTCCGGTGACTGCTTGTCCTCTCGTGAAGCCCGCGTTGCACTTGGCACCGTTCACCGGCTCTGCTCAAGGGGAAACCCAAATCTGAAAGGGCTGGGAACGCTGCCAGCTCAACGGCGAGGTGCGCTGCGAAAGCTGTGTGTGGGCCTACAACTCGAATAGCAGAAGGTTTGCAGGGCTGGCAGAAGTGCACTGCGTGTGAGAAGTTCCCCTGGCACCCGCCTGGGTCCAAGCCTGCCCCTTGGACTCGCTGGTGTGGATGGCCCCTTGTCTTCATGAGCTCAACATGGCTCTCACCCGCAAAAAGGAAGCCCAAAGCACAATCTGCCCTCAACCCTGGTTATTTCCCATTCCCTAAGTCTCTTCATCAAGGAGACCCAGGACTGCTTGACGGCAGCCGACTCCACTGCATACTTCTTACTGATGGGGATGGAAACTGGCAGGAATACCACAGTCCCGTGGCATGAATCACTACTGGCATCAACCACCGGAGCAAAGGAGATGCTCTCCCATCACTTCATCGTTTCCTTTCTAGTGAGCCTGAGCACTTCAGCGTAAGCGTGTCAGCCTCAGGAGAGGCCTTGCAAGTTATTCCTTCCTGGGCTCGGTACATGTACCCTGTGAGAGAAATTTGGGAACCTGGAATGTTTTAGTAG